CTTCTTGTTATCTCCCTGAAAGAGTTAAAAGCATCATACACCGTGATATATGAATAGCCATGTTTATAGCAGAATAATTTGTAGTAGCTAAATCTTGGAAACAGCCCATATGTGCATCAGTGGATGAATGGATAAAGAAAATGTTTATATACAATAGAGTACTAATCTGCCATAAAGGATACCCTTGAGATGTTTAGGTAAATGAGACCATACTTTGTAGTGAAATAAATCAGACACATGTGTTTAAATGTTGCATTGTTTCTGTTGTGTAAGAAATTGGAAGGGTAAATAAATAAAGACCAAAATGGATGACAGATATTGAGAAATAGGAAGAAAATGTTCAAAAGGGAACGGGAACAAGGGATGGGAGAAGAGAAAAAGGAAGAAAAGAAGAAAAATGGAAACAAAGCTCTTGTAAGTAAGGAGGGGAAAAAGGATTAAAAGGAGAAGAGAGTGGGACTAAAAGAAGAATGAAAATATATTATGTACAGGTGCAAATTCCCTATGATGAATGTGATCATTATGTATATCAAAAGTGAACCAATAATATTAAAACATTTACCACTAATCTTAATAATATAGTAATGAAAACACTAATAAAACAAAATAATCAAAAATGATTATTTTTGTTTTAGCACAAAAAGCATACACAGGTTAGCTATATAACATCATAAACTCGAATTCAAACCAGAGCTGCATGACAGTGAGACAAATGATGGCCCCAATGTGAATGTGTTAAACCCTTTTTGTACCTTTAAATTGCAAGAAATTGGGGCTGGGGATTTAGCTCAGTGGCACAGCGCCTGCCTGGCAAGCGCAAGGTCGTGAGTTTGATTCCCGGTACCAGAAAAAAAAAAAAAACTAAATGACAAGAAATTAACAAATACAATGGCCACAACTTTTCAAAATACAGTTAATCTTAATCTGGTTACCCTTCGGAGTTTTTTGCCAAGCCTTCCAAAGCTGCAACAACCTGGAGTCTTGGGCAGTAGTGTCCAGACCTCGCCTCATTTGCTGCGGTCTCCTCTGCTTCTGTGCCATAAAATGAACCCCGTGCAATCGCACGGCATCGTACCACTTACACTTGTTCAGATTTTGCCAACAGACACCAGGGCATTAAAGTTCTCTTCAGATATTGACACTGACATAGAGTCACCAAGCCTGGTGTCTTTTCTATGAAATGGAAACACTGAATATGTGATAATCATTCGGTAAAGCTTTTAAAACATGTCACACTTTATGAATTTTAAGAGCATCCACTCATGTCATGTTGGGACTGAGATCAAGATTGGTGGGGACAAATTCTTAGAATACCTTGATATTAGTCTTGGCTTCCTAGAGACCCTCAGCTTCCCATTTTGAAATAAATGTTTCAAAGTCTTACAGAATTTTACATATTTACACAAGACTATATTTTTCTATAAGATTTAAAATTCAGAAGCCACTGCTTCTGAGAGCTAGAGAGCCCAGGGATAAAATGAAGCATGTCCCATTGAAAGCAACTGCAACAAGGAAGGGTTGTTTAAATAGCTGCCACTGGCTGCATCAGGAGAGTACAGCCAGAAGCTACAAGCTATGCGTCAGCTGAGCCACAGGGGTAATGTAAGGCAGGTGAGAATCTCTCCAAACAGATGCATGTGAAAAACAAACTAAACCCACAGGAACGGGTTAACAGGATGTCTATTAACTTACACAGCAAACTAGCATTTGGTAATAGAGCAAATGGTATTAAAATCACAGGCCCAGGAAACCTATCTGGATTGTGGACTTGGTCAAGTCTCTCAAATCAAGAGTACTTGTGAATGAGAAAAGAAAGTGGAGCATGGCTACTGATGCATTAGATGGATTAGAACTGAATGATTATATTCCTAGCAAGTGCTCAATAAATCACACACCAAGGAAAAGTCAGTCCCCTCGGTGTTCTCCAGATTATAACTAGAAGGCCTTTCAACTCCTTGTTAGGAAATGGTTTGAATCCCTCCCACTATTAAAAAATAAAATAACCAACCCAAGACATTCTTAGAATAAAACTTTCATAGACATATCACTAAATTTTAATTACCTTGCTCAATAAAGCGTGCTTGGAACAGTACGATGATTATACAATTATTCTCATTTAGTTTTTTTTTTTGGTCTTTTTGAGACAGGGTTTCGCTATGTAGTTCAGGCTGGTCTTGAACTCACTTTGTAACCCAGGCTGACCTTAAACTCTTGGTGATCTTCCTGCCTCAGCCTCCCAAGTGCTGGGATTATAGGTGTGCACCACCACACCCAGCAATTCTCATTTAGTTTTGAATATTGAGAGTACTTG